TACAACTACTATTTCCCTTGCCAAAATGTAGAAACTATACTCTTCTTACCCGAAACATACCTCCGCGTTCTAACCAAACATCCCTACCGCAATCTCAAAAAGGGTTTCCCATCAAAACAAAAAGATAATAAACTTTTAATCTTGAATCAAGGCTTCTTTAAAGTGAGAATTAAAACAAAACTATCTCAATTGCCTAAAAAGTCATTATTTCTTGACACTATCTAGTCGGGTTTAAAATGTTTTGAGGTTAAATCAGGTTTAGCCAAAATTTTGGATTCAACTTACACTAGATTTAGAGGCTTTATTTTCGAAAGATAGTTGAAGTGCACAAAATGGTGTCGAGGTTGCTACATCTGCACTTTTACAAACATCATATAAATCAGCATTGCAACCACTTTTACTTTGTTCAAATACAATTGCCTCCATCACGTTTACCATGTACCTCGCTAGGTCCATTGAAAGTGCTGAGGATTTTGAAAGCCAAGTTGTGGCAGCTTGATGATGTAGGTGGTAGAGCAAAATTGAAAACCACCGGGTAATTTCTAAGCCTTTAGTATGCGCGCCGTGGCGGCTACACCCCCTCTCTCAAATACGGCTAGTCTCAAAAACATGTAGGCGTTTGCCAGCTGAATATATATCCGAAAATGAGAGGAGAATGAAGGCTAAAATTTTTTTAAATTTTTATTTATTTATATCAAATTGCAGGCGTTTTGATAATTATCATTAGCCCTGAAGCTGACTTCGGGGCTTCACAGAGAGGCGGAAAAACATCAAAATAACACTTCAGGCTTCACAGAAAGGAAGATGAACATCCAACTGGTGCTTCACAGAAAGGAAGATGAACATCAAAGTGGCAAAAATCCTTCACAGAAAGGATGAGGAACACCAAAGTGGCAAAAAGTCATACATTGGGAGACAGAATAATGATTCACAGAGGTAAAAGAGACAGACACAAAGGCATAAACAAGGTAAGATTAGTACTGTGAAAGGGGTCGAATATGACAAGTAATTGGGCCATAGAAGTTTGAAGTCAGAAGTCAACTGCCAATCAATAGACTTTTTTGCCGTATAATTATACGTTGCCCAGGGTGCACCATGTGGAGGTAAGTCTATTGCGCACCGCTTTTTTCAAATATATATTAAATGCGATAGTGGGTGACAATTAATAAATTATAATCGAATTCTACCTTTCATTTCAATTGAAATGAGGCAAGTTTGCAAATTTTAATTTAAATTTTTACCCCTTTGCTAGAAATTTAGATTTTTTTCGTGTATGCGTTTTACATTAAATTTTAATACAGAAAATATTTACTATAATTTGTTGATGCAGTTTGATTAGCTTACCTTACTGTTTACCTTACTTCTCTTAATTGCAAACTAACTAGCGGAGAAATTAGAAAATTTGATTCGCTGTTCATGCCAATTAGTGTGCTGGTTTAGAAAAATTTGAAACTCTGTTGCTTGGAAATTTAGGCATTGACTTCGTCCAAATAGACAAAATCATTCGTCTTGAGTCAAAGGTCCCCTCCGGTGCTCTATGTTTTAGTACATGGGTTGCGAGAAAGACTTACCTCCCGTGGTGCAACCTGGGCAACGTATACTCATACGGAAAAGGTCTATAAATCAGCAGTTGGCTTCTGACTCCAAACTACCATGGCCCCACTGTATGTCATATTCGACCACATCATATCACAGCACTCATCTTACCTTTTCTCTGCTTGTCTGTCTGCCTGTCTCTTCACAACTGTGAATCATTATTCTGTTCCCCCTATTGACTTTTTGTCACTTTGATGTTCCTCATCCTCACTGTGAAGCCCGAAGTCAGCTAATGGGCTAATGATAGCTATCAAATCGCCTGCCATTCGAAAGAAATAAATGTTTTAACATATCTAATGATGAATTCCTCAGACTAAATTGTCAGTAGCACGTGAGTATCGATCGTCTTATCTTTCCCACTTCTCCCCTCCCCTCATTCAACCTCCACACTTTACACCCACAGAAAATACTAATGTACCCTACAAGCCTTTCTTCTTTTTAAGCAGTTAAATTTACCAAAGGTCACTACAGTGGTTGCAGACGTTTAAAGGCTGCCGTCGTGATTGCCAATCCCATTACACGAATCATGGCACATTCTTGCTTAATAGAGCCTTTTCAAACGAGTGTGATGTATGATAGATGCCGGCTGTTCTTTTGATGAAGTAAATACGATTTAGATCTTCCTGAAGAATTCGATAATCTTGAAGGAAAGATTATAAGGGATAATTCTTTAACTATGGAATGTATGCACGTTGGATAAATGCTCACTTTTTTAAATATTTCTAAATACATTCTGACCTGAAAAACCAATATCTATTTAATATTTCAATGGTAATAAATAATATCATCATGTATATAACCAATTTTAACATGGATGACCAGTTTCCGTTAAAGTTTCTAGGGTTCTGCATTGACAAAGGTAAACATTTTCCCCGATGGTGGGAAGATACGTAATAACTATTTCAAAATCTGATCTACAGCCCAATTTGAAAGAATATAACAAGATCGCCAGTTACGTTTACATGAACTTGATGTATTTACCACTCAGTGTAGGTGGGGAGTTCTCATGTGGTCTTCAAAAAACCCAATATTTGGAGTACGTGACTAAAAACCTATTGTTCAGAGATGTGGAATAAAGTTGTAAATCGGAAGGAGGAGGGGAAGGAAATGGAATTCATTCATTGTGAATGCACAAATCACAACGTGCAAAGCTCTTCATAGAGTTCAGCTGACTATTAAAGGGGGCTTTATTTGTCTGATGAAATTAACCAAAAACTAATTGCTAGCCAGCGGTTACGAGTGGAGGATTTTTTCTGCCCATATGTATAACGAAATAGTTGTGAAATAACCGTCGTAACCACAAAACGTCAGCTGTTATGATCCCTTTAGGGGATATTACCACCACACCACTGAATCATCCCCAAATTCAACTAACAACAGAAGCCGCAAGCACATTTCATACCCTTACCCTAAATCCAAAATCCAACACACATACGCAATGTGTTGCGGAAAATGGCCTCTGTAGCATCGGTTTGGTGAAATAATGGGCCTCTCTTCCGGTTGCTAATGATTCCCCCATCGATTTGGCATTTTCAGTGTATCCAAACGCTTTAATCGGCAGGAGATAAATGGAATCAGTGTGCCGTTTGTAAAGTTGTGGAAAACTTCATAGTGAATACTTCTGCATTTCGAAAAAACAGAGCAAAATGAAAGTGGGAGAATATTAGGCAATCTGATTACGGTAGGCAAGTCAGATTGGGTGAAATTGGTTAACTTATTTTGGGGAAAAAAATAAAAAAATAATTAATTACCATGAAAAAATAATTTGAGAATTTATTGTTAATTTATTTAAAAATGTATATATTTTCCAAAAGGTGTTAAATAACAGTATTTCATCCTTGATTATTTTGGAAACACAGCCTACTACTGAGGCGGTTACGCTCAATTCAAGAATTTTGAGATATATGGTTATTTTGAAGATTAATAAGGTTTTAATAAATTAAATTAGGATTAGTTCAAACAATCTTTGAATGAGTAGTAACTGGTTTGATTGCAGTCCAGGTTATAAATATATTTCAAATGGCGGGCTTTATGATAGTTATTATTAGCCCTTTAGCTGACTTCGGGCTTCACAGAGGGCAGGAATATCAAAGTCACAACAAATCGAGAGGGGGAACAGAAAAGTGATTCAAGATTATAAAAGAGATAGACAGACACAAAGGCAGAGAAAGGGTAAGGTGGGTACTGTGATAGTGGTAGAATATGACAAACAGTGGGGCCATTGTATTTTAAGTTCAGAAGCCAACTGCGGATTTATAGTCTTTTTTGCCGTGTAAGTATACGTTGCCCAGGGTGCAACACGTGGAGGTAAGTCTATCACACACACACCATCCAGGTTATAAATGGATTTTTTCTAAAGATAATGAATATATATGAGCCATTTTATAAGGTCATTAAATGGGTCATAGAAGTAGAGATGGCTATTATCCTCCATATTGAGACGCTTTCTCCAATTAAGACCAAATGTGGTCGATTTCATGAAAATTATTTTAAGTGAAGGGCATGGCTGATATTATCAAGAATACGATGAAAGATGATGATTAATCTGAGTCTAATAATAGTTAGGAACGGGGTGTACGATAGACTTACCTTCACGTGGTGCACCCTGGGCAACGTATACTCATATGACAAAAAAGTGAATTAATCGACATTTGACTTCTAACTTCAAACTATCATGACCCCACTGTATGCCATATTCGATTACTTCCACAGTACCCATCTCATCCTTTCTCCGCCTTTGTGTCTGTCTGTTTGTCTCTTTTGCATCTGTGAATCAATCTTCTGTTCCCCACCCCTTGACTTTCTGTTACTTTGATGTTCCCTCTCCCCTCTGTGAAGCCTGAAATCAACTAAAGGGCTAATGATAATTATCAAACCGCCTGCCATTTGAAATAAATAAATAATAGTTAAGAGTAAATCCTGAACTCAACCGCACTCCTAGTACACATTCAATTCATCCAAGCTATTCACATGCTTGATAATGCTTAACAGTTAATAGTAGGATCAAATTTGGACAGACCACGAGCTATTTCGTATGACCATGCTCCAATAAGGGAACATATTAGATATTTATATGGTACACTATTTTGATGGGGGGGGGGTATCTTGAGCTAATAAAATACACCAAGTACAAATTTAAATAAGGAGCACTTTTCAACCTCGTTGAGAGCCAATCAACACCTCAAGAAGACTAAATTAAATATAGAGAAGAACCTCCGAACTTACACCACTAATCGATTTATCAGAGTCCTCTGAAAGTCGTGCCCCAACCAGAAAGCTGTGAATATCTAACTCTCAGCATGTTCCAGAGTCAATATCAATTCAATTGATTCACGCCTGATGTAAACACAGTTCTTACTATCTTCCAATATGTAGCGCATCGAGTGATTAAGGGATTATAGCTTTCAGTTAAATATCTGAGTGGCACAACGTTTGTTGGATAAATGGAGAAAGAATTCAACGGGAGAAACGAATGACAGCTTGAATAGAGCACCAATCACCAGGCCCCATGTTTGAGTCAGAAGGCTGTCATTGTGATCCTGAACAAATTCGGCTGCCTCTAACCAATGTCCAAACTGCTGCAGTTTTCTCCCTTCAGCAAATAAATTTCGTGGATCAGTGAATCTTCTCCGCTTGAAAGACAGTTCTTGGCACCGATCTGTTGGCTTTCAAGGAACATTTTGAGATCCGAAATCCGATCAGAATTACTTCTGACTTGATAGAATACAAAATTGTTTGATAATCATCATAGGAGATGTTTCAAGTTTCACTGAAGTAGCAGTAATCTCTCGTGTTTTGCTCAGATGGTTCAAAGAGAGCTGTGACTCCAGCACCCAGTTTCCTAACATCAACAGAAAAGAACTATGAAAAAATTGAGAAGGAAGCACTTGCCATCTTCAGCGTAGCAAAGAAGTTGTGTACATTTGTCGATGACCATCTCTTTACTCCACTGATGGACCACGAACCATTCACACCTTTCTTTGGATCACAGAGAGGTATTCCAATATATGCTTTGTCAATAGTTTTCAGTGTTTTACAATAACTACGAATGCATTTCGTTTTAATAACTACAATAAATAACGTTTCAAAGGCATTATGTACTTTTAAAGAGAAAGTACTTCCAAAGTGACGAACATTTCGTCATGGTCTGATACCCTTGTACTGAAAATCTATTTGCCATTTGTAATTAACCCGAACTTCCATTTCACAGTTGAAGAAACAGGTAAGGGTCAACTTGCTAATTGACAAGGCACCATATTTGTTGAATTCAAAATAATTGTAGGTAGGTAGGTAGGTAGGTAGGTAGGTAGGTAGGTAGGTAGGTAGGTAGGTAGGTAGGTAGGTAGGTAGGTAGGTAGGTAGGTAGGTAGGTAGGTAGGTAGGTAGGTAGGTAGGTAGGTAGGTAGGTAGGTAGGTAGGTAGGTAGGTAGGTAGGTAGGTAGGTAGGTAGGTAGGTAGGTAGGTAGGTAGGTAGGTAGGTAGGTAGGTAGGTAGGTAGGTAGGTAGGTAGGTAGGTAGGTAGGTAGGTAGGTAGGTAGGTAGGTAGGTAGGTAGGTAGGTAGGTAGGTAGGTAGGTAGGTAGGTAGGTAGGTAGGTAGGTAGGTAGGTAGGTAGGTAGGTAGGTAGGTAGGTAGGTAGGTAGGTAGGTAGGTAGGTAGGTAGATTTGTGTAATTAACATCAAGTAGGCAATAAATGTATTCCACACCACATGACCAGTTTACTTTTTGCTGGCATTGGGATCAATTTTGTAATTTGAGGATTTTGCAGAAGATATTGACAAACCACAGTAACGGCTTAGTTATATAGCATCTGCTATAAATTCTAAAACTTTAGTTGATTTTCGAATAACTCAGAAACTCATTTATTTATCGTTATTTTTAAAAAAAATGTCCACATAAAAATTGACCTCTTAAAGAGCAAAAGAGAATAATGTCCTTTTATGTTTTGCGATTTAGCAGAAAATTAATAATTGATTCCCTTATAATGAAAGTATTTAAAAGTTCTGTTTTTAGAGCACGGTCGGCTAAATTACACATTAGTTTCCTAATTAGGGGCGGAAATAATATTTATTAATTTAGTTATTACCAATAAATTTAGAAATTTTTTTCGCAAGCTCTTTTTGCCTCCGAATGGTGTGGAGTTTACGAAAAAAACAAAAGAAGCTCAGCTTTTTCTCAGACTGAATAGTTTAAGCATTTCTCACACTATATAACTTGCTTCGGTTCTGTTCAATGACAGCTAAGTGAAATGGTATATTCAGTGAAACTTAACCTCCAATTTACTTTTATTAACAAAGTATTAATTTGCTTTGTGCTGCTCAGATTTCTACCCTTCTAGATATTTTATTAAATAACATAATTAAATAGTTATGTTCATTTAAAAAGATACGACTTGTTATCTTTCGATTCTATCGGGGTATATCGACGGTGGAATTGGTCAGCTACAGTGGTTGAAACTGATGAACAAGAAGAATGGAAGAATGTGCATTTCTCATTAATATACTCGCCTTCTGTTGACCTGCTAGGTCAGAGGTCAAGGGCCCAATGAGCAGAATGTCAGTCACCCTGATTAGGTGGAGATAATAAAGAGAACCAATGATCAGATAAATTAATGTCTAAAATAGACTTTTTCACCTCCTTTCATTATTTTCAAGACAAAAAAATCACAATTCACTCTCACTTTCAATAAATAAGCTGCAAAACCAGGCTGTAAAGAAGATGATAAGGATAGAGGGCTTTCACTGACGTACTGAGAAATACTTTTAAGGCAAAATCTGTCAAAAGTACAAAACAAAAAACCTTATTTAAAAGAGGTTTATTTGACCTATTATTTCTGATTAGCGCCTTTCGAACTGAAAAAAACAAGCTGTCATTATTTGCTAACCCCTTTGAGCTTCTAATTAGGTTAAACGAAATTGACATGACGTGAAAAGAAGTCTTAATATGCTCCTAAGGGGCAAATATTTTGTGGGGCAAATCTGAATTACGCAAACAAAGATCCGGCAAAAAACCTGATAGATGGTTATTTACAATTCTTAACAATCTTTTAAATTTTTTAGTTTATTATTGTATTAGTTTAGGCCATGTGCTTTCAATGTTCTTCTTGGTAATTTAGTCATCAGCATCGGAATTTTGGATTGATTTTCGGATTAAAAAATATCCAATAATACCGAGCAGGCGGATCTTCTAATCCAACCGACGCATCGACAGTTGCCTTTGGGGTTGGAATCCAGTCTCGACGAAACTGTAGTACAAATTGAAAATGCTGCAAAAAAATTATAAAACCATTTTTGAAGAACCGTCTTCCACTCTCTTTATCTTTACACCGATCACTGTGGCTTCGGTAAAGTCACGATTTCATTCTATGATTGATCTGTTCGGGTTTATTGCATCACATCTAAACCCAAGTTAGCTAATTCACATGGCAAACGAGAGCAAATATTTTATAAAAATTGAGGACTTCAGATCAGAAAGTACCATTTTATTAATTTTCGATTTTGCACCTATGTGTAAGCTTCAAAGTTCATTCTTCGTTAAGAATGCAACGTTTTTTTTAAATTAAATTTTTGTTTCATGTTTGAGTACATAAGCCTTAATTATCATCACATCGACTCATCAAGGGTCACACCAAATTTCCCATTTCAACGCACCATTGAGAGCGATAGAATCAAGCAGTGTTGTCAAACGAATCCAGAATGCGTAAACATAGGTATCAACACCGAGCTATCCAAAATAGGGAGAAATGTGGGTTAAAAGGTGCTTCACACTGATAGTTGTCGTACATCTCAGATCGAATCAAATGCATCTAATGGGGAGATGTATTTAATGAATTGCACTTAACAACTAAGTGAGGCTGATTACTTGCGCAGGATGCATGAGTCGCCTGGATAGGTACTTTGAAACACATCCCAACCTTGCACACCCAAAGGAGCTGCGAAGTCGTCGAAGTTGTGGTCTCTTAATGAATGTGTCTTAGAATGCATCTTGATTTTATATGGTTATCTTCTATAATCTGAGTGTACTACGTACGTGGCATACCATTCTTAGCTCAATGTGAATTGTAATTTTTTCGTAATTTGACTGAATTGTATTCAGGTTCACAAATTAGTAATCAATCTTTTTTAAAATCCATTATCTAAAGTCCTTTCAATATTACTTATGTGGACATAAGTTTAATTTGGATGGAAGTTACAAGTTATATATCATTTGTGGAAAGCCTTTTTTGTTCTTTTAGGAACATTTTGAAAAAAGACAGCATCGGTTTGAATATTGCATTTCAAGAGGCCAATAAATGGACGAAAACGCATTTTACCAATTTTCGTAAATGAAAGTATTAGATATGCAGAAAGAAACAGGAGGATATCTTTACCTTCCCAAATTAGTTATTTAGCTTAATTATAAAAATCAAAACCCAACTTATTTCTACCAAAGAACCGATTCCTGAAGTCGCAGGCAGAAGAGTGACATTAATGCAATATGATCGAAATCAATTGACTTCTTTAGATTTCCTTTTGGTGATATAATGAATAATGAGTAATCAGAACATAAATGTTAACCGGAGGTTCAAAATTATTAAAGCTGGTGAAGTTTGTGTCAAAGACAAGAGGAAAAATTAGGTTGAAAAGTGTAGAGGTGGTAATTTAGTCAACGGCATTTATATCATTGGAATTCATATTCGGGTTTTGTCGTCTACATGTGATATTTTACAGAGGTAAAATTTTTCCTCAAGCATTTTTTCTCTCTTAATCAACGCTATTTTCTATACTCTATACTAAGTGACGTTGACCATGAAGGGATTCAAAAGGTAGGGTTATTTTTGTTATGTCAGGAGAATATAAATTAGCCATGACCGTATGTTATCTGAGGTTTATACATTCAAAAACTTGAATGACAATTATGTAAATACTGTGTCATTACCAAGGGTATGTTGATAGTTGGAAACTGATATCAATAATATGCAATCACTATATTTAACTAATATTTAAAAAAAATTCATTAGGTATTGAATATCATAACTCTGAACAATAAAATGTCAATTTTATGTTAATTATGACTTATGCATTATTTGCGGCATGAAGTAACGGTAGATTTTAGAAGAAATAAAATAATACATTTATTATTCTAACATTGCACCTGAATCTTAAACGCAATGACATGGCAAATATAATGAGAGATGGGGCAAAAGCTAGTTTTGACAAATATCTGAAATAGAAAATTATTGAATCAGACATCGCTAAAAAGCATGAGACTAAATCAGTAGAAATAATAGTCATTATATTTGCTACCAAACTTGCATATATTATTTATTGTACATGAAATAAAAAGTATCTTGAAATGAGTATAAAACTAAGCGCGCTAGTTGTGTTACATTGTTAGTCCCAAATTGGTTTGTTATTTTTGATTTAATTATTAGTTTCGGGCGGATTTTATAGTGTTTTCATAATTGGTATGTATGATTTTTATTCATTTATGGCCACCGAAAATACATTTTTTATCTTTTAGATTTCATTACTTATACTGATCAAAATGTCGATGAATTGGGACACTATATCGAATCCTCAGCCCCCACCACAAGACGAATCTGTCCCCAAACAAGTGCCACTATCCAATAGCGATTTCCGCAAGCTTCTTCTTACCGCAGAATCCCAAAAAACTCACCGCGACGTTAGTAATGCCACTGCCCCTCGCTCCCGGTCTGATCGACCAAAATCCCATTCTTCAAAGTCCCGTCCCCCAAAATCACGCCCACATCATCGTAAACATCGTCGTGAAGATGGTGGAGGAGACGAGAGTAGGAAAAGTGATAAAGCTCCCAAATATCGCGATAGAGCTCGTGAGCGTCGTGAAGGCAAGATATCTAGTAATATGGAAAGTCTGGAATCTACGATCCACGAAGAGACTGTTGAGGGAGGAGAAGATGGAGAGGGGGATCCAAATCGTTTGATTCACACAGCTGATTATCGAGCAGTTGCCCCGACAACCGGTGCTGACCATGCGGCTGAACGAATGAGAGCTATCGAGGAGTCAAAATATCTTGGCGGAGATATGGAAAATACTCATTTAGTGAAGGGTCTTGATTACGCCCTCTTGAAAAAAATGCGTCGACAAATTAGAAGTATGGAACTCCAGGCTGATCAAGAATTAGACAAGGAACTTGAAAAGCCTTTGGGCGAAGATGTAATTAAGCGTGAAGGAACTCTAGAAACTGGTCTCAATTTTAAAACTCTTATGGCTGAGAAGATAATAGAGACCTTGTTCAAGAGCAATCAAGGTCCTGTGGAGAGAAATGAATACTTCCAGCCAGGTAGAATGGCGTATCGGGTCGAATTGGAGGACGAAATGGCGGAATTCGAAGTTCCAGCGACGGTTATTCGGAGCAAGGCTGATTGTCCTCTTTTAGATGAGGCTACTTCAAATAACTCCAATTTAACCACGGATGATATTATCATCAATAAGTTGGCTCAGATCTTTGCTTACACAAGAGCCGGTAGACGACAGGCCAAGAAGGCCAAAATGGCTAAGCAAAAAACAGATGGCCCTGAGTATGAGGCACATGCTAGCCGACAAGACGAACCGAAACCAAAACCGAAACGTAAGTTTTCATTCGTTTGCTAATTATCCTTTTCATTTGACACTTACTTATACAAGTCTCTATTTCGTTGTAATGTTTCGATCAGAAAGATCAATTTCTAGCTTTCAGTCTCGACCATGAAGTCCAAGTGTTTTTAATATCTGTACTTTTTGGTGTCTATGGGGGTTAGAATGTGATACTTTGTATTTTGCGGCTTTCTGACAGTAAAATACTGTGATTCTGTACTGGTGTCTAGTTTGTGCCTTCAGACTTATCGGTTACCAACCGAAAGTTTAGTTGGCTCTTAGTTGGTTTTGAATAATTTATGTGCATAAGTTGATTCATGCCATAGTTTTAATGAATGGAAAACCATGCTTAAATGTTCGTTTTATTCTTACTCCTTTGAAGGGAGGCGTTCCGTACCTCCCCATTAATTAGTTACTTTTACTGCCGTTAGTCGTATAGTGTAACTAGCCTATATTGGTGAATACCGAAATTGTATTCTTATGTCTCATAAATGTCTATGTTGATTGCTCTACAGCTGTTGCCATTATGTGCCATTAACAAGTAACTTCAATGCATATGAGATTGTAAAAGCTGAGCTTGTCTTTTTTTGCAGCCATATTTGACGATGCACCCTCTGAGTACGTTCCAACAAAGGGCCGCTCATCCCACCGTGACCGTGAGCCTGAGTCCTCTTCTCATCGGCATAGAGAAAGAAATAGAGACGAACCTTCATCGTCGTCCTCTAAGCGATATCAATCAAGCAGCAGTAATAGTGCACGCTACTTTGAAAAGCCCGTCATCGAGCCTGAAGACAAGACTGCTGCAAGTAAAAGCGCTATCTCCGCAACCAAGGATTTTGTTCAACAACTCGCCAGCAAGTTTAATACTTCGGCTGCCGCTAAGGCCACCGACGAACAGGCTAATTTGGAGCGCTTAATTAAGAAAACTGAGATTTCTGGCTACGATGAGTGCTATCCCGGATTTGCAGAGTCCTACGATGCTATGGGAGATTCAGATGAGGAAACTGATTTCAGCAAAATGGACATGGGAAATAAGAAGGGGCCCATGGGTAGATGGGACTTTGAAACTCAGGAGGAATACGGTGATTACATGTCGAATCGTGAGGCTTTACCGAAAGCCGCTTATCAATACGGTGTAAAGAAGCCGGAGGGTCGTAAGACACGCCGTATTGGTGGAAGTGGTGGCGGTGCGGGATCTAATCAGAAGGAAGAACGGGCAAAAGTGGATCGGCAATTACAACAAATTACTTCGTTAATTAATAAGCGTAAACAGATGGCTCAAGTAGCTGTGGATTCTGAGTCTAAAAGAATGAAATATTAAACGGTTTATTACCTTCATGCCGTTGTACATTTTATGATCTTTTCGCCGCTGTAAATAAAAATGTTATTACCAATTACTTGGTCATATTTTATAAATACGCTCAGTTTCGTCTAATCATGATTTCGGGATGTAGTAATACAACTTGCTTGATTAGATAGTGATCTTTTTAAAATGTTGCGAATTCCAAGCCGTGTGTTAATAACCTCGATGGCAGAATGATGCTTTGTAGAACGGCAGCCATCACGTGCGTCTTTAACAACCGCCCCCACGGGTCGGCGTTCTTTCGTTCACTTCCTCAATAGGCTTAGGGCCTTCCATTGGCAGGGGTTATTTATGGGGAACATTGCCCTCATCGTTTTCGCTTTCAGTGAATTGTTTTTTTATGAAAAAAATGGGTTAACTCAAGCTAATTATCAAAATGCTTAAGTCTGGAACACAGGAGGTGTACATTCCGTAGCTCACCAATTCGAGGGTTTTTTGGTTAGAAGTGTTTTCTATCAAGAATCAACTCCAGAGAACACCAAAATCATTAATTCTATAAACACCATCTGTTAACACCTAGATATTTTGGGAAGATTCTCAAGGTGGGGCATAAATGGCTTTAAGCAGAAGAATATATTGCAAATAACTCAAAATACAATGAAAGAACATAAAGGTCTCTGAGAGATAGGAAAGTAGAAGGTCGAGCGAAATAGTGATAAAATGGTAATGTGAAGTAAGTACTTAGAGCAAGTAGAATAGGATCTCAATTGCGATTCAGATTTCGGGTTCCATAGATTGCCGCAAGCACAAAAAGATAAACAAGGCTTTGAAGACCGGTCTTCGATGAATCAGCAAGCAAATATATACATTATATTTTAGTACTTATCTCGATCTGTACTAGTATCCACGGAAGGTTTCAGTAAGAGCCAACCAAAAAGAGATGAGCTAATTGATTAGAATTAGCTGGTAGAAAAAACGCGCGTAAGACGTTCACCCCACAGCAGGCCGGAATGAATCGACAAATGCTAGGCCGTTCTAAAGGGAAAACGGGTGTTAATAAAAGATCAGACGTAATAATATATCATGATCTCAAAGTAGCAAATAAGTCATCATTTGAGAATTTCCAAAACTCACCTGAAGCAATCGCGCGCTGCACCAGTTAGCGTTAAGGGCCAGCTTAAACGAGAAAAACCTTACCTCAGGTAACTAAAATTTGAAGCACTTTTAAGAAGCATATGACTCAGCTTTGATCACCAAAACAACTCAACCTTCATACCACAATTACATTCAGATGAACGACCTTCTATTCAAAGCCCGCTTAACAATGCCCACACTTTTTCACTCATTCACGAAAGCTTATAAACCACAAACTAATCAAATTCCTAGGCTTCCTCAAACACCTACTATGTGCCCCAGCAAGAACCCATTGATATGAAGCAGCTAACAGAGCAAAGTACACAAACGTCCACATTATAACAAGACAAATAAAAAAGGCAACATTTTATTTGAAAAAATACTTTAACAGCCTTTGAAATCTAAACTAGTAAACATACCTAAAATTTTATTGCAGAAGATTAGTAAACGCATCAGAAATGTACTCATATCATTAAATTCAAAAGTAGCAAATAAATCATCACAAATCTAATAAGACTAACCTTACTGGAACCACCCTAAAAGATTAAACATAAGGGTTAGAAAATATATCAGAGATCTTGGTGTAGCAATCACGACTCAAATAACAGAGTTATACATCATTAAAAGCAGCAATGCCTACCTGAGAAGGTAAGACGTCAGTGATGTATAGTGAAACTTTGGTTTAAGTTTTAAACATTGTAATTTGCAATCGCTGAAAGAATAAAAATTCATTAGCCTTTAGGAAAAAAAGTAAAAAAATACTGAAAATAAATGCACTTACCAGAACTAATTAAAGAGGCCATTCGAATTGCCTCCAAATAAAATCTTTCACTAGTTACTAAAGCTCCATCTAAAAACGACTCAAGGGCAGGCAGAGCGACACGCACAAGCAAGCGGATGCATGTGACTAGAATGACGGTTTAAACTGCTTAATAAAACAAAATGAATTTAATCCAAAACTACGCGAACTAAACTGAAATGTTTATAACTTAATATGACAACAGTATTAACTACAAATAATTTGCAATTGAATCATTTATGGTTTATTATTTACATATTGATTTATTTAGCCACCTTTATCAGCGATGGTTTATAATAAATTTACGGGGTGCACGATAGACTTGCTTCCACATGATGCACCCTGGGCAAAAAAATTTTGATTTTTACTTTTATACGATGTCAGTTATTCGCAATTTTGTAACCAAACTTTTCAATGAAACATGCTACACAATATGTTCTTTAATATTGTTTTCACTTAAGGCGTACTCTATATAAAATTAGATATCCAACGATTAAATCAATTGCTACCCGTATGTAAATAGTCAAGCTTATATCTACCTAATTTACATAGACATTTTGAGAGAGGCCTTAATCATTTTGGTTTGTCTTTAAGAATAAACTTTTGTAGTTGTTTCCATTTAAGTATTACGATTTTTTTCCTTAAATATATTAAAAAATAGCTAATCTAATAGTATTGCTCGTAATCATATTCAACAACGGCCTCATGGCTTCCTTTTATCCCCATTTCCGGAAATAAACACTAAGGTTCATATTTCCAGTCTGCCAAACTCCATTCTTTCAAGTGAGATGAAAAGATAGACACAAGAAAATTAAAATGTTGCAAGTTTACAGTATTGACAATAAGACAAATATAGTTAAATCGAGACGAAAGGAATTTAATTTTGCTATTACTGATAAATACCTATGTTTCCTATTGATTTATGACACAAGTAGTTATGTAGACATATTTACAAAATCAAGAATATATTTCCATCTCATGTCATAAACCAATAGTATTAAAATACGCTTTATACCTGTTTTCATTACGTTAATGTGTAGATCTTATCAGAAATAATATATGATGAATTACATGTTTCAATGAATTGTTATATTAAAATATTAAATTGTTTCATTGACAAATAGAATCCTATTCAAACTATTAAAAAGATTGAACTAGTAGAGCTTTGTTATTTCTATAAATAAGTTAAATGTAAAACCATCTGCTTTCGATTGAAAACTCAAGTAAATTCTTTGGAAAATTTTGTCAGGATTAATGAGGGAGTAGTGTTGCAAATGATGCACAAATGAGTGGTAATTAAATCTCAGCAATCCTTTCATGCAAATTCACCCTCTATAAGGTTATTTTTTTAAGGCCCAATTAGGTAACCGAACCTATTACAGGGAACGCTTTTATTGCCTATTGACCATTTACACACGTTATTAGTTATCAATTCTCTCATAGTGAATTAAACCTTCAGAAATCGACAGGGGTTTCCCTATATACGGTTGCACATTTCAGAGTGTTCACAGTGTATAAGGTAGCGTTGTGAACCCCATATATTTATTCATGTGAGCAAATACTACTCGCCAAATGTTCAAGCACCAGATTCTACATAAAAAGGGGAAAAATGGCGGACCCAACAAAGTCGTTTAATTAATGTTTATAAAAGAAGTGTAGCAGATTGCCACGCTAGTAAAGCCTGACCGACTCAGAAATCTCTGTGGCAGATTCTCCCACATCTAGTTAGACTCCCAGAACTAGTTAAGCCATAGCCCAGCTATGTAAGGAAACAGACGTGTAGCATGAAGCACGTTTATTCAGCGAGTATATTGCGGATAACGTGTACATGCAGGGAGCTACTCATGATCATTATGGGGGATTGGGTTAAACAGAGGTTAACGACTGGTCACGGGGTGTGCGATAGACTTACCTCTACGTGGTGCAATCTGGGCAACGTATACTCACACGGCAAAAAGTCTATTAATCGGCAGTTGACTTCTGACTTTAAACTACTAGGACTCCACCACATTTCATATTCTACTAATTCCACAGTACTCACCTTTTTTCTACCTTTGTGTCTGTCTGTCTCTTTTACGTCCGTGAATCATTATTCTGTCCCCCTTCTCGACATTTTGCCACTTTGGTGTTCTTGTTCCTTTCTGTGAAGTACGAAGTCAACTAAAGGGCTAATGATACCCATCATAACGCCTGCCATTTGAAATAAATAAATAAATGATTGGTCACTGTTTGTACGGTCGCTGTACACAGAGTTGTACGGCCGCACCTCTCAATCCTGGCGAGCAGACATGCAGGCATA